CAAGCCTTCTTTATTCAAGGCATCACTTCGATAGAGAGGTTTTACAGATTATAAATCTCACGGTCTCAGGATTTTAGACCAATCACAAACCACACAACCAAGCCACACAATCACACAATCAAGTACATAGAGAACTTCATAGTATCACTCAATGCATATCAATCGCTATTAAGAGTCTATCTATCAAGTAGAATAAACCATAACCTACCTCCACCGAAGAACCGAAGTGGAAAAGCTACTTCTCCAATACCTTTTCTTTCCTCAATGCCTCCGAACCCTTCCAATCTATCAATTATATGTGCATAATTCGTAAGTTAACGAGTCTATAAACACTCAAAACTATAATCAACTTTCTAAAGTTCAAGCCTAAGGATTTTCTAAATTCTTCCAATTAGCATAATCTTTAATGAAATTTAAAATAATACGAGATACCTAATATTTAATTACATATCTCAATACATCAAAATATAATTTATAATAAGATGAAAACATTTTAATGTTTAAAAGTTCAAGCCACTGGTTACGAAACCAGTGGCAATGAACACCTCTACCTATACACCCACACTTAATACTCCAATTCTTTACATGATTAATGTTCTGGCCTAACTTTTCTCTCAGCATTCATCTAACATCAATACTATACAAATGCACACTCCCACTTTATAATATAATATAATAATAATCGTAAATAGTTAAAGTTGAGGCCACTGGTTACGAAACCAGTGGCAGACGAACTAACAGCGATCCAAACCCAATTCAATTACAACGCCCAGAACCAAATTTGATAAACAATCATAGTACAACCTTAGTTGCTCCTCATTAATGTTTGGTCTCCACCTTCCAATCACAATGCACCATTAATATTCAATTGACATCCTTATATAGCCATAGTGTTTTACAATATAATAATCATATGACAATACAATAAGATAAGGACCACCAAATTACAAGTAACTTGATTCGGAGAACCAAGTAGATAAGCCAAAGCAACCAAATTTGTCAGTTTAAGTTTATACTTCCATTAACATCATACGAATAATAATAATACTATATTCAAGCAACCATTAACATTGGCAGGGAATAGATTCAATTGAAATTTGTTTACCTGCGATAGATCTTGTCGTTCTCTCCTCTAAGGGTTTGTGCCGCAATCAGTTTGTGTTATGACTAAAAATTAATAAACTCCTTAACTTATTTTCTTACATAGGTCAGACTTAGGGTATTAAAATCAATTATGGACTTGACCCATTAACCATCAACTAATATAAATTAATTATTTCATAAATATTCGCCAACTAATAAATTATTAAAATTACCCCATTAATATTATAATTGTAATTACGAATAGTCCAAAATACCCATTTAGAATCTATCAGAAGAGTCTTTTATGAAATACAAAGCTCTAGTACTCAAAATGACCAAATGGGTCGTTACACCAAGCCCATACAAATAGTTATTTTGAACAAGTATATATATAATTTGGCAGTTTCATAATAGTAAAGGATAAATTCAACGACCACAATATCAAATATATTCTAAGAATTTTATGGGTCTAACATAATACAAAAATGTCATTGAATTTCATATCTTGTAGTCCAAATTTAAATTAGACACTAAGTCTAATTTTATCTTTATCACAAGTAAAGAACCCACACATTTTAAATATGATCTCAAAAATATTTTTCAAATATTTGAAAATAATTTTGCACATATTTTTGTTTCCATGCTTTCAAATTTATACTATCAAAATGTCATTGGCAACATGAAACTACTTTTTGAAATAATATTCTACAAAAGAATTGTAGTGCTTCAATTCCCATTGACAATCTTTACAAAATATCAAAGTTCATTCCATAGAGGCACCTATTACCGGCACAAAATCACTGATTTTATCTCACTGGTCTTTTTTTTCCCTTTGTCACAACTAGACAAACCATTTAATATTTATAATACTAACAATAAAGACTAAAATTGTGTACACCTTGTTTCTAGTTAATGATGATTTTTTTATATTCTTCAAATCGTCAACCGAATGAACTTTGAATGTTGATGCAGTTTTTATGACTTCAAATCAATTTCAAATTTAGACGGAGTAGAAAATCAAGAGATTTTAGTCTTCAAAAGTCAGAATTAGTATATCACAAATATATGCTTTTCTTGTCAAATAGCTTTCCAACTAAAATAGTTTGTATCACTTAAATATTTCAATAGTTTTACATAATATCTTATCAAACTAAAAAATGTATATCTCATTCTGCAAATTAAATAATTTTAAAGGCAACACTATTCGCCAAGAAAAATTCATTAAACAAACATATGATTTGCAGATCCTTTTCCAAAGACACACATTATAAATATAAAAAAAAATTAACTTTTAGAAACTATTTTCCTCCTTAGGTAAATATAAGAAGGTTACATTGTAATCTTCAATCGGAACACCACCAATCCTTCTTGTAAATTATCACTTTGGCCTAAACAAGGCACCAAATTTTGGAGAAGTATTGTAATAATCTGCAAGTTTCGTCATCCGTTTTCCGATTCTCAATCAGTAAAATACAAAAAATACCAACAGTAATATAATTTCTTTAAGATTGTTGTTCATTTTGTATTCCTAAGATACTTAGAACAATAACTTTGAAGAACTTGATAAGAAACAATAAAGTTTAAAGAGTATTTTAATAACTAGAAACTTAAAACCAATAAAGAAAATAGAATCTGAAACAGATTAGAAAAAACTAAAAAGGGTCATATTTGCCCTTATACTCTTAGAAAAAGTTGTATTTACCCTTATTCATATTTTTTTGATATATTTTCCCTTGTCATCTAACTTTGGGCACATAATACCCTTGGTCAGTTAATTCACCACTTTTATTATCATATGGTGGCACTTACATGGCTCCTACATGGATATATTTATAATATAATTAAAATTTTACTTCCTATTTAATATTTTACCCAACCTACTTAAATAAAATTCGACTCACTCAATTTGAAAACCCATTAAACCTAACTCCAGACCTATAATCTCGTATCACTTTACCCATCAAAACATCTATAGAGAGAACATGATACAGATGAAACAACTGAAATTTGCTTACTAATAGTGAGAGATGAAATGTCGTTGCTAGCCATTAAAGCCTCAATATTGCTCTCATCGTGTACATCGTCTTCAAACATCTCTCATAAACACTCTTTCTCTCTCTCTTGTGTGTGCGCGTACGCTTTTGTGATATTGTAGTTTCTGTTTTTATTTTTTTGGAAAATATTTGCATCGGGGAAAATGGGTTTTATGATATGTCAAATACGAATTGTTCTTTTTTTATATTCATATTCGATCTTCTGTAAGCAACTTAAATTTGGTATGAATTAGAGCTGTGGAGAGGAATTTAATTAGAATTGTGCAAAGATTGTTACTTTAAAGACGGGTCCCAACAGTGGCATATTTGATTAAAGATGATCCATATGAAAATGGTTTAGCTTTATCAGTTGTTTCATCTCTATCATGTTCTTTACATGGATGTTTTTGATGGGTAAGGTGATACGAGATGATATGTTCTGGAGTTGGGTTAACGGGTTTTCAAATTGGGTGGGTCAGATTTTATTTAAGTGGATTAGGTAAAATATTAAATAAGAAGTAAAATTTTAATTATATTAAAAGTATCTATGTAGGAGCCATGTAAATGCAACGTAGGATAATAAAAGTAGTGACATAATACTTAACTGTTTAAGGGCAAATATATGCTCAAAGTTGGATGACAAGGGGAAATATATCAAAAAAGTATGGCCTAACTCATCGGTGACCCCTTAAAGATGGCACCAAGTTTTACTTAGACATCTTAACTAGACGATATTCATATTAGACACCTCATGTAGGGTACCGTTGTGTCATCTTGACACTCTTTTTCCATTCAACAAAAATATATGAAGTGTGTGTATTACACTCGCGAATGACGTGTAAAGTGACAAATTAAAAGATGACATTTGTCATTCGTGTCAAAAACAACTCTTAAACAATAAATTTTGAGTATAAATAAAAAACAACCAATGAATCAATGACATATGATTTTTTTTCCCAAATAATTTTTTTAAAAAAAATTAAGCCAATAAATTCCCCCAGGAACCCACCCACCCCCACAATCTTCTTCTC